GTGTGCCTTATGTATGAACTCTGGTTGTGTTTACTGACCTCGAAACGATTTTATGTGCACGGCGCTCGAAAATCTGTCAAATGTTTCAGTACGACTTTGCTAAGCTACGAAGCCGCACCGCTTGATGGATTGCCGGAGCATTACGGCTATCGTAGGCAGAGCGATGCGTACTGTGCTTCAACATAATATTACTGTATTGTGTTTGTATAAGCTCTTTTTAAGTTTTGTGGATATTATACATGGTTATGCTGAGGATATGTTGGCCAGTTTCCACTGGAAATGCCTTTTGGTTAAACTGTCAGCGAGGAATTTGCATTTGCACTGTTAAATTTTTACATAACTTGGACATAAAAAACAGCTGCTTGTTTAAGTGAAAATCATTGGGTTTTTTTTTTTTTTTTTTTGCACTAATAAAGTTGTGGAGTTGTAAAGAATTTTGTCTCGTGTCAATTATATTGTCAGTTATATCGTTATCTCAAATTTTCAAAAGTATATCGTGATAAATATTTTAGGTCATATCGTCCTGCTCTATACAAGGGTCTAGCAGCATTTACCCAGACATATTGTTATTCATCAGAATCAGAAGATCAATTCCTGTATAATTTCTGTGAGAACATGACAGAGTATGTGTTAAACTTTACGTAATAGCAAATTTGTCACTTTGATGAGGAAATTAACTTTGACTTTGGCTTCTGTCTCATTTCTGCTTCAGATTCCAAACTTGAAAGAAGAAGAGGCGATGACAGTGGTACAGATATTTTTTTAAGACTGTGGATGCTACTGATGGATGCTACACTGTGACTGAAGCTCGGAGAATTAGGATCCAATTAAAGTTGCAGTTATTTGAAAGCATGAAGTGAGAGGGGTGGGCTCTTGCATGTCTCTATTATAAGGGGGGGATCTGAATATCACATCATATCACAAATATTTATGAAAGGATTTTCATGAAAGCCTAGTCGCTGTGCTCGATGGAATGAAGTTTAAACTAGATTTTGAATGACAAATGCAGATAATGGAAAATAAAGGTGCAAACAAACTCAGATTTCAGTGACAAACCTTTCAACCACAGTGTAACAGCTCGTGTTTACTTAGGACATTGTCTCTTTAATATAATTTTATATATACTTTGAAATGTTTTCAACTCAGCTATTTGTGACTGAGTCTTTATTATAGTCTTACTTGCTAATGAATTTCAATAATAAGAACAACAGAAGTGATTTGTCTGTTTCTTAACATTTGTGGAGTCCACTTTGTGTTAAACCCTGGTCAGGGTGTTTGTGCTTTAACAGTATTATTTTCTTCTGTTTTTAGCGTAACACATTTCGCAGTGACATTGGAGAGGGTTCCATTTTATTAATGGTAATTTTTTACTATACTACTACTTTCATAAACGGTGCCTTTTAAAAGACTTAATGTTTCACACACGTGGTTTCCTTGACTGATGGTTGAATTAGACCAGAATGGATTATAAAACAAACGGAAACGCAGCCTTGACTGATTTAATAATAAGTTTGCTTTTTTGTCAGAAGGCATCAAGTTGTAGCTACTAAAATGTTCTTTTCCAACAGCTCTTGAAAAAGAATAATAATCCAGGTCTGTTTGTGTGCTCCATACTGGACTTCTCTCTGCTGGGAAGAAACACACAGTTCACTGGGATAAATTTCTTTTGCAAGGAGCTGAAAAGAGAAGTGATTTTCTTTCTTTTTTCTTTTTTTGTGGCTAACAATTTTATGTTGAAAAGAAATTACCTGTTTTTTGCATTGGGAAATTCAGTAATACACCATTCAGAAATTATCCCTTTTGCAAGTTTTTTACTAGTGTCTGTACAAATATGGGACATACAGGGAGTGCAGAATTATTAGGCAAGTTGTATTTTTTTAGGAATAATTTTATTACTGAACAACAACCATGTTCTCAATGAACCCAAAAAACTCATTAATATCAAAGCTGAATGTTTTTGGAAGTAGTTTTTAGTTTGTTTTTAGTTTTAGCT